TAAACTGAATTTAAGAGAGGGGCTTATAATTGCATATATTATCTAACGTCTTTTAATAAACTGCAACTATGTTTTTACGTAAATGATTGGTAAGCATTTTCAGCCTTAATTTATTTGCAAACCTTCAAATAATGCTGAAAATAGAGCTATGGAGGATGAAAATCAACTATTTCTGGTTTATTTTTTTTATCAGAATGGTAGGAATTCTATGTCATCTGTGATTTATTCAAAATTGCCCAGAATTTGATTCCTTGACCTTTGTGACAAGTTTATCTGGTTCTTTAGCTAAAAGAATAGTCATATACCAACAACCAATTTCATACCGTTGGCTTTGAATTATTGGAATCATTTGGGGAAAGCTCTTTGTGTAAATCTGCATAACTTTATTTAAACAATTTTTAGGTGGTACAAAACTTGTAAATGGCTCTGAAAAAAGCAAACATTTAGTAAACTAAAGCTTTTCGTCTGACACTCTTCGTCAGAACATAGATCGAAAACTCTACGCTAGGAAATATATATACCCAGTTGTGGATCGAAATAGGCCTATCAGAAAACACGAGAACATGACTGTTGAGGTTGACTAATCAGTGCCGCTTGCCTAGTGAGAATGTTACCAATGGAGTCCTAAGGTGAAAACGAACTCCTTTCGTCTACACAGTAGCGGTTTTTTCGTGCTGATGTAGATAAATTCCAAAACTGCTAGGTGGAACAACGATCGGGCTTTACCAATAGTCCGAAACATGTCGCCATTATAGTTTTTTGCACAATCTGGGTTTTCCAGTAAATGCTGCCCGATAGCAGAATCGCAGATTTTAGTTGTACTTTTAGATCTGCAAGACCGAATTTTATTTGTTTAACTAATAAGTCTAAACTTGTAATTCAGGTTATGTGGCGATGGGTCATTGGATCACCTATGTGTCCTGTCTAACGCATATGCACTTCACGCCATTCTAGGCCCTACACGTCCGCCATTACACTGTTGCATTTGAAACGCATATGCGTCTCAGCCCATGCAGAAACGCATAGTACACTGGCAAGCTCTACGTTACTCAACTAGATATTAACAAAGAAAAACTCAAAAAGCTTGAGATTCACTATGTTCAATACTAACCATGACGACTAAATTTAATGGAAGACACAAAAGCCCATCTAATCCTAGCCTTTATAACTTCCTAATGCCATCTGGAAGCGAAAAGGATGGCAAGGAATCAGAAATGGGAAAGTTGGCTCCAAGATATCAATATGAGCAGAGTAGTGATATTCATCGAGTGATTGTAGGAAAAAGATGTTATGCATGTTAAATGCGTTTAACTTTGATAACATCGATGAATTTCAGCATGAAATGCACTTTGGGAGTTGTTCAATGAACTGATGTTGCAATTACGGGTGTTGGAAAGATACTCCTGATTTTATGTCACATGATTAGTACCGTGTAGAGTTAAATAGGTAGTGCCGTTCGATCAAAGCGTGTGAGGTGTTAGAGTAAGTGATTGCGTGTTCAGTATGAAATCACAAAAATCAGAAGCAGAATATTTGAATAGTCTCGCTCTCTAGCCAATAATTACAACAGGGGGAATCGGAATAAGGGGGGGGGAGGGGTTGGGGTGAACACTGCTATGAACCATTCTATACTGATAAATTTGGTGTCAATGCTTAAAAGCCAACACAATTTCTGACGAAAATGAGAATTACAAAAAATTTAAGACAAACAGGAAGATTTAGAAGCATCTACTGTGAAAGTTTTTCTGCAATAAGCTAATAATCGGGGTAGGATCATCCTAGATCATCCTAACGAGAGTGGAAGGGAGCTCGGAAAAGTAAAAAAATTAATAAGAGAAGGTTTCTGTTTATTAGACATTTATCAGTATTGAGCTCAATTTGCTTTAACTCGTTATGTTCTACTTCAAGAGCTACTACATCAATTATTATTTTGCTTTTTCACAATGTAGTGGATTCTCTTGGCCAGCTTGTCAGGCATTTACGCATTACTGTCTTGGGGAAGTTCCCTTTTTATCCTGCAAAATGAGAGGAAGTATTTCCCTTTGCTTGGCACTTTATGTCAAAGGGGAGTGCTTCCAGAAAAAGGTCAAAATTTGCCCCTTTAGTGACAACTTCCTACAAACTAATAGCTACATGTAAACAGAAAAAATTAGTCTCCTCTGTTTATACTTTGGAAAGTACTCAGGTGCTTCATTCACTGTGGCCAAATAAGTCATTTACAAACAACATGCTGCTACTAAAACAGTACAACATGCTGCTACTAAACATAAAGTCCAAGTTATCTAAAATAGAAAATCCTTTAATACACTGCTGTTGTTTGCTAGTCTTGCATATCCTTGAAGTGAGTTCCAATCTGTTATGGTCCTGGGAAGAAACGAGAATTTGTAGTGATCTTTTGATACTGAAAGAGGTATAAATTTCTTTGCATTGTTTGTTGTACTTCTCGTTTGACGGCTCTGTTCACTCACATAAGATGGTATTTCGACTTCAACCGTATTATTCAAAATCATGCTGAACTTTGAAAGGCGTAAGTATTTTCTTCTCGTTTCTAACTTAGGCCAGTTGGTTTAATAATCTAGCCATTGATCCTTCCTCCCTTGAATAATTTTTGCTTGAATAATTCGATAAATGTCACTGAATATGCTTTCTCCATAAATATCATTTCTTGCATCTGTTACAAACTGGTGGCATTAATATTTGCAAATTTTCTTGCAGTGTACAAATTTAGGCCATTCAATGGTCCTCTGAAAATGTTCCAAGGGGACGTTCTACTTACAAATATCCCAAGAAAATTCATACAGTTGACTCTCGAAAATCCGAACTTTCACAGGACCTAGAAAAAATTTTGACTTATCGAAAGTTGAATTTTTCGAAAAGTTTGGTAAAACAAGAAAAAAAGCAAGAAAAATAATACTGCAGGGGCGGATCTAGCAAAAAACCTGACTGAGTTCCAGGCCAAGGCTAGGGACTTTCAGATAATGCATTGATCATTGTGCATAAGACAACATTATTATTCATACTTATGCATTTTGGTACTATTGAGGGGGGGGGGTAGGTACCATCTACTCAGTAAATCTAGATTCTAAATTTCTTTCCGACAAAAACAGTGTCTCTGTGAAAAAAATTTCAACCCTCTCCCTTTCTCAATGCCCTTTGTTTGTTTTGGATGCCACAGCAAAGTTTTTACCTTTTGTTTTGCTCGCAATTTGTTGTTTTGCCTCCGTAGACACCAGGCTGTTCATCAAAATTTGGGGTTCCATCTGAGCATAGGTTTCCGTGCCATCAAAGACTGCAATTTAAAGCAAAGGTAGATAACGTTCCTGGAAAATTAACGATATTTCCTGGTTTTATCTCAAACGCTTAATAATCTGCTAGAATGCTGCGATGGTCGTGAGTATCTGCAGTCGCCATTTCGAATTCAATGTTTTGCAGTTCCACAATAGATCAGTATTTCCATTTGTCATTCAACTATAACTTTTTCAGATACAAATAATTATTTTAAATATCTGAACCTTATATGTATTGAAGTATTGTTTAGTCAGCCCAATGTTTCCAGAGGAAATTATCAATCACTTTTGTCAAATAACAATTATGTCCCCACAACGTAGATGTTAAACTGACAGTCCCCACAAAGAAAATACACATGATTGACACCGTAAATCATAGCCTACAAGCACAGCGTATTGTATATGCCGTTAATTTCGTCCCATCATCCAGAGCCTGTTGCTTTCCATTGTCTATATATTTACCATATTAAGAGGTCCCCACAAGGTATACGCAAAGTCATAGTCCCCACAACGATAGTCATGTCAGTATGTATGTATGTATGTATGTATGTATGTATGTATGTATGTATGTATGTATGTATGTATGTTTGTATGTATGTATGTATGTATGTATGTATGTATGTATGTATGTATGTATGTATGTATGTATGTATGTATGTATGTATGTATGTATGTGTGTATGTATGTATGTATCTTTACCAAGGATAAATTTCCAAGCAATAAAAACAAATTTGAAACTTCATTGCCTATGAAATATCTGTTCCTCTACATGAGCGTAAATTTTGATTATGGCATATGATTTTGGCTACATTATGTGAACGGCGCCACGAAATTGAGCGCGGGGGGGGGGGGCTAAGAATCAAGCTTAATGAGGTAGGAGGACCCACCATGGTTGGCTCTGACGTTAAAGAAAATTTCTAAAAGGAGAGCTAAGAAGCATCTCCCAGACTAAAATTTAGCAAAATACTATACTGCTTGGGAAAGATAATTCGACGCTTCTCGAAAAAACTGATTATTGTTTAATGGGAAAAATTTAAAAAGTAACGGAAAATTGGTAAAAATATTCTTATCTTGACCAGCTCTCTAGCCTCCCAGTGGCACCCTGTCTATCATGAAAATAATTTACAACTTAAATTAATTTGTGTGGACTCAGCATTGTCCTCATAAACATATGCATCAACCATCATTGCATCCATTGGCTATGACAGTTCAGTTAGAAATGCTTTCGTTTTGTTAATAACTGAGCTCTTCCAGACATACCTGTTCCGTTCGCTTAAAATGCAATGTCAGGAAGCTTCAGTGGTGGCGTTTCTGTGGCTGCGCTACAATAAAATTCTTCTTAACGCCCTATAAAATCTTCGATTGCCCTACGAAACCGACTATTTTTAGATTGAGGGGATATCACAACCCCCCCACCCCCCACACACACACACACCCTTGCGGGATTTTCGCGTGGAATGATGTTGCACGGTCTGTTTCATTCTGTTGCACGGAATGATGTCACATGCATTGTAGAAAGTGTAAGTGATGATACAAACTTTTTACGACGAATGCAAACTCGATACAAACTCTTCTGTTCATTTGTTTGATCAAATCCTTGCACCGACATACGAAGTTGCATCAGGCAGTCGGCAAGATCGCGTCCTGTTTTATCTGTCACGTGGCAAACTCAAAAGGAGATTTCACCATTTTGCATCATATAAACATCCGGGAAACTGCACCACAGTACGCCGAAAACATAAATGGCGGGCTCTGCGCGGCCTTGAAGCATAATTTTCGCGGAAAAATGTAAACAGTCACGGAAAGGTACAAAGTTTTGTAAACTGAGAAAAAGTCCTTTTTTAATGTCATATGCATATGATTAGCTATGGAGACATTCAGCAGTCTGTTTGGTGCAACGGCGGAAAGCAGCATACCAACTGAACCTAAAGGCCCAATAATGAAAGCAGAAAGTACAAGTCTTCCTCCAGAGGTAAACTTCTTGATACTTAAAAATTGACACCCAATTGCTCATTTCAACAGTTATCTGTCAGGTTATATATATGTTTTGGAAAGCTGCAGAGTTTCACATGCATTGTAGAAAGTGTAAGTGATGATACAAAATTTTTTACGACGAATGCAAACTCGATACAAACTCTTCTGTTCATTTGTTTCATCAAATCCTTGCGCCGACCTACCAGCCTTTCTGTTATAAAAATTATACTGTCTAACTACTATTGTTTAAACGGAAGGTTCTCGGATATCACCAAAATCAGTTGATTTGTTTTAAAATTTACACATTTTCATTTCATCACCTTTTAGCTTTCCAGGCCTATGCCTACTTATTTAATTCTTTCAATGGTGCTGATCAAGTATGAATTCCATGCAGGGCCTAAAATAAGAAATTTTTACAGATCCACATTTTTTATAAAAATTGGGCGTGGTACTTTGCTGGGATTGGCATCATGGGGGTGGTAAATATAGAAACTGCCATCATAGTGCAAATAGCATGTCCTAATTGGGCAAATTCTTAAATGAATGAAGTATAGCAAAATCTGATTCTTTACATTATATGGATTGGGTTAATAAGAAAATTAGCTACTTATAGCAATGTCTAGATATGTGAGGGGAAAGTTATCGAAGGAAAACTCTTTTTCTTGGTTTGTTCGGGTCTCTGTCAAAGTTATTTTTTCCCCTTTCACCTCCAAAAACTCCCTTAGATCAGCCTTGCTTCCCAGATTTGGGTATTTATTGGTTTTTTGGAACCATATCTTTGCAGCTTTTCTCGGAACTCGGAACTCGAAACTTGCGAGATCAAGCATATTAATTGCAATATTTATCTATTTGATAAGTTTTCTGGAGCTATGCTGCTCCCAACCTGCTTCTATCTTGTTATTGGTGGGAATCAGCCTCTCTGCATCAACAGAATTAGGGATTGCTGCAATGTCTGGGACAAAAGCTGGGTGAAGCTTTCTCAAGTTTTGTTTACTTATGGAAAGTTCTTAACTGCATTCAACCCATCAAATTCTTTGCCATTAAATCTGTTCTTCAAAAAGTTTTGATACTATGAACGAAAACCTCGCTACAGATGGCAAATAAACTCTTCTCTCACCGATGTACAAATTGTGCTTGTTTCTTCTTATTCGTTTTTCGCCCAGTTTGAAATCATGATCTTTACCCCCATCTTGTTTGTAATGCAGAAACCACACACCAGATCTCAATTTTGGAACTACGCCAAATTTGTCATAAAATTGTGCTAGATTTGCAAAAATTATGCTAGATTTCAAATCAAGGCAACCCTGCTCGAGAAAGAGGCTAATGCATGCTCAGAATATCAAAAGTGGCCAGAGTTGCAATTTGGCCATTTTGACAACCCAGTGTACTCATTCTTCATAAAAAAAGGCAATTTAGATCCATGGTTTGTTGGCCAAATTTCTCCATTTTGGCAGTTTCTCAAAACCCCTTGGCCGTCATAAATTGATTTGGCCGAAGAAGCAACATTTGGCTGAATTCTGGCAGTATATTGCAAAAAACAACAAAAATGCAAAGGAAACAAAAACTTTTGCAAAAATTTTTAAAATAATTTCAAAATTGCAAATGATGAATGATGAAACAAAGCTAAAGATAACAGACAGTTTTAGATCAAAGCAAGTGAAAACTTTTGTAACCTACAAAGCAAATTTTGATTACGGTATCACTCCCAATAATTAGCAAAAATTTAGCTTTCTTGTATACTGCGTTTAGCTGGCTGCATTTGGCTGCCAACCACAAAATATGTGGCTGCCAACCATTCAAAACAATTGGCAATAACCTGAAGGTAGAAAGTCAAAATTTACTCCCAAAATGAAACCACAGATGCTGGTGTAAAGTGTTTGCATTTGGTAACGATCGACAATGGATCAATGGAAACAATGTTTCTTTTGAATAATATCAGAATTATGCCAGAGTTATGCTAGATTCCAAATTATGCTAGATTTTATGCTAAATGGCGATTTTTGGCCAATATCATGTTAATATTACATTAGATCAGGTCACACTGGCACAAGCCCACAAGGGAGCGGCTGGAACGGGACTAGCAGGCTTGCCCCTAAATTTTTTTAATGGACACGCCCTTTGAAACACCGGAAACCACTCCTTTCAGAAAATATTTGCTTTTTTCTCTCCTTATTCATAAACATAATGATTAAAAGAAGATTTCAATTAACATAAAAATACAAAATCAAGTTAGATAAAATACAAATTTATCTTTGATCAAACAAGATAAAGCATCATCAAAAAGAACAAAATTGTGTTCCTAGAAGAACTGCTACTAATGCGTTTGTTAGCGTAAACTTTCAAAACATTTTCTAACCTATTATTGCAAAAGAATTGAGGAGGACTATAGTCCCTGTTATGCAACATTCCCAATTGAATGTTCCTCCCAGTCCCGAGAGGCTTATCATCGTTCAGCTGCTGTAGCCTTGAGGGGAATTTTTCCAATGCTTTTCCAATTTAAAACACCTTAGTTGAAATGGTTTATGACTTTCTTTGAAATCTACTGAAAAATATCACATAAAAATCCCAAAATACATTACGGGCAGGAAATCATAATCTCGGTCTTGGTCTTAAGGCTCAGTGTCTTTTTAAAAGCAAGTCATAAAAGCAAACTAAATTGATATGATGTCTTGAAGTTAAAGCTGTATACAGAGTCCATTTTACTTTAAAATAGCACACAACAATATCGTAATGCGCAATTGATTTTTCTCCCCATGTACTGAAGCTTCGAGCTCTGAAGTTTCTTAATTCTTCTTTATTGTCCATTGCTTATTTCTTATCGCAATTTTCTTATAAAAAATTATTGCAATACGTAAGGCTGGGATTGGGCATTCACTTTGAGTTGAAAAAATGTTCCCATCTCTTTCTTAGGCGTTTCGATTGTCATTTTATGCTGCACTTTTAAGAACATACATTATTTACAGATCCACACTTTCTACAATTACAGGTCCACAATTTTAATTTACAACTCCACAAAGTGAGTCAGATCCACGCTTATTTTAGGCCCTGATTCCATGGCAGCCGCACTCCCGAGAAATTTTTGTAAAATAACTGGTGCACTCTTGCACACCCAAAAATTAGGCGTGTTTTTTGATGTGGCTCCAATTAAAAAAAAATTTCAAATACAGCAAAATGACTTTCTAAATTTGTTTGCAACTGGAATTGGAAAAAAGTGTGTCATTCTAAATTGAGTTGCATCAGGCAGTCGGCAAGATCGCGTCCTGTTTTATCTGTCATGTGGCAAACTCAAAAGGAGATTTCACCATTTTGCATCATATAAACATCCGGGAAACTGCACCACAGTACGCCGAAAACATAAATGGCGGGCTCTGCGCGGCCTTGAAGCATAATTTTCGCGGAAAAATGTAAACAGTCACGGAAAGTTTCAGTGGGCCTGGGGTCAAACTTAAAAATTAAGCTCCTTGCGAGGGAAGCAAGCAGAAAATTTTTGCCACCCCATTCTTTAGATTAGCTTAAAATACACATCAGAATATTCTTTGCAGTCATTTTTCTTGCAATTGTTTCAATATTACTTTGTTTAAATTTTTTTATTGTCACATTTTAATGTCATTTCCATTCTTTAAACCGATTTCTATCATTTAACTATAAATCTTCCGTAGACATTTGCCCCCTTGTCCTCCCTTAGGCAATTTGCCCCCTTGTCCTCCTGTCGGTAGCCCTGCTTTATATCATCCTCATGACACTCTTAGGATGCTAAAGTTTTTGGCCTTTTTATTTAAATTATCTCTTTACTTGGATATCTCTCTTCTCTATATCTCTAAACCTTTAGGAATTTAGATAGCAGCCACTGATGGTAGTGGAAGGTAAGCATAGTTCAGCTCTTCAAATTCTCTGAGATGTAAAATTGCTGTAAACAGGAAAAGTGCTGGAAAAAATATGCACACACTCATAAATCATTGATAAATTTGATGCACACTCAAATGTGCACACTTGTCACAAATGCACTCTTGTACTCCCTGGTAGTAGCTTGTGCACTACTGAGATCTCATCGAAAACTGCCATGAAATCCAGACCAGGTGCTGATTCCATTTATGGCATTTTCAGAACCGTGTGTATTACCAATAAGGAGTTATCGGAGAGTGCACAATACTACCAATGTTGTTTATTTTTGGGGGTTGGGGTAAGCTACCCCCAAAAAGCTACATGTAATGTCTGGATAATAATAAAAATTGAGAAAATTATGTTTATTTCTGATTAACATGATTGAAATGATATTTTCAAGTTTTGCAAAGGCTCACAGCCAATATTCAAGAAATCAAAATATGAAAAAGGAACAGGAATAGGGGTTGCATTGTTATAATTGGTTGCTTTGCATTCTCCAAAATTATAACTTGCAATGAACATATCATACTCATAAAAAGGAGCCCTGTTTTTCCACAAAAGAGTCCCCAACTGGAAGATCTATGATTCAATGTTGGTTGTAACAGAACTAAAATGCAACTGACTTACCACTTGTGTTTCTGTGCCTTAAACTGCCTGCTTTAGAAGCACGCCAAGAAAACGGTTCCTGACCGGCTCCTGCGATCTTTGTTTGCCAAATTGCCATTGCAAGCTTGACTGTACCTACTACTTTTGTATTCACAAAAGCACTGGACCGATAATATCATAAATAATTAGTTGCTGCTTTTGTTTGCTTGACATTTAACATATCAAAAAATTATGTCATCACTCAATGCAAATCATGTGTAGTAGGTGTGTAACTAGATGTGTAGTGCTGGATAAATTTCTGTTGAACAAAAAATGAATTAAAAGCTGCAAATTTGCAAATAATGCACGTTCAACGCTTTTTTTATAATGACGTAATGGATGAAGTCATTGAATCTTGAAATTGCTGTTGAACATGATATTCTTTCTTGTCTCATGGGGAAAAAGAAAAATGTTTTTTGGAAAATAATCAGAAGAGTATCGTTCTTAATAGAGGTGTCTGCTGAAGCCACTGTGGAAAGCCCAAATTACCCCTCCCCCGATTTAACTCTCCTGGTATGTAAATTTTCAATTTTTTGTTGGCAGAAATGAAATCAGCACTATCAAAAACCCCATGGTAACATAAACTTTTGTTGTCATAATTATCGGTTTTCTAAATAGTTTTCAAACAGTGCTTGCCAAAAATCTTGCTACACTAACGTCTGTTTCCAAGGGTTAATTCAGGCATTCCCCTTCTGCCTCTGAACAATGTTGGTTTACTACACAACAGCGCTTTTTTCCTGTGACTTCTATGATATTTTTCTAAATCATCAATATTGTTTAGGGGGAAGGGGTGCAGAAATAGGAGTATCCAGGAAAAGAATTGAAAAGAATTGAAAAGAATAAAAAGACATCACAAATTGCTGGGTGTTCCAAGTACTTTTGGCAATGATTTCAGTCTTCTCTTTGTCTAAAAATGTTCAAAAAAGCATACTTGACAAGGAAATTTAACAAAATTTCGCTTCAAATAAAGAATTCATTGAAAATGGTTGTATTCTGCTACCTTGGTATCAATTACACTTCTTCAAGAAGAAAAGGAATTCCTCTAGATTTCATTTAAAGAGCTCCCTGGGCCAGCTCTTTGTAAAGTTCGAAAAATTTCCTGCCATTCAACCCATATCTTCTTTATTTCATTAAAGTATTTCTCTGCCATCAGCAATAGCTTAACATGTTACCTTTCCAGACTTGCTGGTTTTAGTTTTAGGAAATTTTCATATTTTTCAATTTTAGAAATGCTTAAAATTTATATGCTTCTTCTCTAGGTTGAAGAAGGAAACATAGAGTACAAGGTAATGCTTAATTCTACCTTCAAGAGAGTTGCATGTTGCATCTTAATATTATCCATGCTAGCATGTTATGTGACTCATGGATGTTCTTCTGTAAATGATTTGCAGTACTGCATTTTTAAATCTGTTTCATTTGATAATGGGTTAAGTGACATATAGTGTAGGTTAATGGAAGTAAAGATCCTCAGTGGAATAGAAGATGCTTGTACCTCTCTGTCAACAAATTACTAATAACTATTTAATTTTGATTGTCAAACTGTCTCAACATTCATGCCAGATATGAGTTTAAGTTGCACACAATGCCAAATTAATCATCAGTCCTGACTATTATGGCAGGAATTTGCACCTCACATCCACCTTATTAGCTCTACCAGACATCAAATAGCCATCAGGGAGGTGGCCCACCCCTTTCTATGGTACCTTCCTACCCTAGTAGATTGTATCTTCTTAGTACCATGTAACCTTTTGTTGCTGGTGTCTCCATAAAACCTTAAAACCCCTTGTTGCTTGTGGCCCCATAGAAATGTGGAACCTCTCAGAACATTTATTATTTTCTATGCTAATGTCATGATAGAATGTATCTTTTTTGTCCAAGCTGAAGCTTGTAAGTCCTTCAGCCTCAAGAATTGAACACTTGGTTACACAGATGAAATGGCGTCTTAAAGAAGGGGGAGGTGAAGCCATATACGAAATTGGTGTTGAAGACAATGGCACTCTTACTGGACTTACAAAAGATGAATTGGACTGTTCACTCAAGACTATAAGAACCTTGGCTGGAAGGTCAGCTTTCTTTGTTCTTTTTTTTCTATTGTTTGGTGAATCCAATGCCCAACAGAGTTTTCTGCCTGTTGAGCTCAGCTCATACCTATCCAACCCACTCACCACAATTGCAGGGCCTAAGTGTTTCTTGGAATGAGAATTGGTTTGTTCTGTTCTGTTCTGTTTTGTTCTGTTCTGTTCTGTTCTGTTCTGTTCTGTTCTGTTCTGTTCTGTTCTGTTCTGTTCTGTTCTGTTCTGTTCTGTTCTGTTATGTTATGTTATGTTCTGTTCTGTTCTGTTCTGTTCTGTTCTGTTCTTGGTTAACAGTAACAAAATGTTCTCAACCTTGCAGCTTTTTCCAAGGGACAGGAATCATACCAACTATGCATCAAATTCAGGGATAGCACAGCATAGCATGCATGAGACAAAGGTTCTCTAAACAAGATGTTCCAGTATGCTTCTGCTTCTGAAACTTTTTGCTGCTAGAAGTCATTTAAACCAAAATTTAGTTGAGTTGAGGAACTGTCATCTGCTTAAGATAAGGCCAGAACTTTGTATAACTGCACTTTTTGGTTTGTTCTTTGTACTTTAAGTAAACTTCCTTTATATATCAGAAAAGATTGAAAACCAATCTAGAGAAAGGACACATCCTTGCCTAACTCTGCACCCCCTACCTTGAACATTCTGTGAATACATTTCTTGCAAGTTTCTTTAGTCTACACTGTCCTTCTTTTATAATCACCAGTGATTATGCTTGATTTTTAGGAACAGAAGATATCAGAATATAAACAGGTGTACTTCAAAAGTAGATACCCCTAAAAAGGATTAGGTTTGCATCATGATCTCGAAGTTTAACTCTTTCTTTGCAGCTGGGATTTAGAATTTGCAGAAAGGCAGCTGCTGCGCTTCAGTTTGATGTGCTGTCTCATAAACAGTAAAGGGCAACATTGATGACAAGCAGCCAATTTGACTGCCTGTTTGCAAATTTTCTGAATTATCATCATGGTCCCATTAACACCTTTCAGTTCAACAGAAGATGTAGCACAGAATAGAAGAATCCCCAGGAGGGAGACTACATTATTTTTGCAGTAATTCAAATAGACCCTGCCATATGCTGCTTGTCATAACTGTTGTCCTATCTTGTTTTTGAGACATCATCATCATCAACAGTTTATCAAGGCAGCAAATCAGAAATTTTACTATAACCAGCAACTGTAGCTATATAGCCTTTCTACAGCAACCGATAATGCCATTAGAAGGAATCTTATTATTACTATAAATATCTTTCTAGACTTGATGCAGAAACAACAATTGTGAGAAAACAGGAAATAAAAGATGATGCTCAAACAAGATTTGCAGCAGAAGTTCTTGTAAGGAAGATACCTGATGACCAAGAGGTTTGTTTCACTTAAACCTGAGTTTTTGCTTGACCATAAGTAGTCAATTTGGATAGAACCGGATTGCCTTCATTTGCAGACGGTTCCTGATTTACATGCCATCGTGAACATAAAGAATTGTTCGATGGTCAATGAAGCCATTGGATGAAATTCTATTCATGCAAAGCGAAAGGAAGATCAAGATTATTGAAAAATATATGGCAATTTAACGGAACTGTTGGCTAATTTAACGTAATTGCCTAAGCATTCGTCTGGCCTTCTCATCAATTGAAATTGAATTTTATGAAAGCAAAATTTATCTGAGAGAGCAACGGTTTTTAAAACATTTAGAATGGCCTGTAAGTACTGTTTGCCTTTGTGGATTACGGGCTGTTCTTTTCCTGGCCTACACTGTAATAATTCTTGTATTCTACAGTTTGTAGACATAAGAGTAGCTGTCATTGGCAATGTTGACGTTGGCAAGAGTACTCTTTTGGGTGTACTTACTCATGGTGAATATGACAATGGAAGAGGCAGAGCCCGCCTAAATCTATTTCGTCATCTACATGAAATCCAGTCTGGTAGAACTTCAAGTATAAGTCATGAAATTCTCGGGTTTGACAATGATGGAGAGGTAAGCCTTGATGACAACTTGAATAGAAACCGAAAGGAAGGGTGACCAATTAAGTATGAATATTCAATTTTGATATTGAATAAAGGCCCAAGCTGTCGTAGCCACAGGGCTCTTGTCTTGGCCTATTTCTATTCATAATATGATGTGAAATATGATTTGCGATTCTGCCTGAAAAAAGGGAAGTCATCTGTCATTTATGCTGACGATGCTGCCTTTTCTTCTCAATGTCTTTCTAGGCTTCAGGCGGGCTACAAATAACATATTTGCCGTGGGGTAAGCTGTAGTTTTTCGGCGTATGCTGTGGCAAAAATATTATCAGCATTTTTTCCTGTTTTCTCGTCACTTTCTTTTTGCTACAAGGGCAAGTTTTTATGCCTACGAACCGCTCAGTTGTTTCATCTCTGAGTACGCCGAAGTTTCATAATTACGTGTCCCGTATTTGCTTTCGATTTTTGCACTAACATGCACACCTGTTTTTTCGAGTGTTTTTACTTAGAATTTATTGCATTATTGCTGAATTCCAATAGATGCTGACAGAAGCGTACATGTGCACTTGCACCGTGATGTATATGGAAATGAAATATGTATAACTCAATAGAATACTTTTTGTATTTGAGGTTATAACATACAACGACTCATGCACTGCTGAAGACATATGTTCCGCTGCCTCCAAGTTGATAACATTTATCGACCTTGCCGGTCATTACAAATACATGAAAACAACAATATTTGGTCTTACCGGCTATTTTCCTGGCTCGGTTATGCTCGTGGTTGGAGCAAACACTGGCATGGGTGAGTGTAATCTTCAACTCCCTTTCTCTTTCTGCTTAATCAATTGGGCGTGTTTAGATGTCAGCAAAACGTAATTTGTTTTTGCAGAAATTTAAACTCAAGAACAAGGAATCGTTTTCCACAACTATCAGCGACTTATATTCTTTGCACACCATACACCAGCTAATATTGTTTGTCTTGTTTATGATTTTGTTTGTTTGGTTGTTTAGCTGGAACCACGCGTGAACATCTTGGCCTGGCAATTGCCCTGAAAATTCCTCTGCTTGTGGTGATAACCAAGACCGATTTGTGTCGACAAGAAGCCCTTGATCGAACAACAATGCAACTAGAGCGCATCCTGAAGTCCCCAGGCTGCAACAAAGTTCCTATTGTAGTCAATGATCATGATGATGTCGCCACCGCTGCGCACAACTTCCCATCCGGACAGTAAGTAGTAAGCTATTCCACTATCAATGTACAAATTGGGGTGATACACTCTCTTTAATTCCAAAATAATATCTAAATGTCTTTTTAATACCGAATTTTTATTCTTAGTTTGGCAAAATATTTTTGAAATACAAGAGAGACTTTAATTCTGCTTTCAACTCTTCTCCTAAAACCTTGACTCTACTTGTTTTCTTACGACCTTTACTTGTTCTTTGTATTTGCTGGCAAAAGTTTAGCTGACTCTAATAAGCTTCACTGCGTCTCGCTGACATCAATCATTGCTAAAACCAATCTTTTTTAGAGTTACACCTGTCTTTAAAGTTTCTTGTGTCAACGGAAAGAACCTGGATCTTCTCAAATCATTCTTTTTTCTGGTTCCTCCAACTTCGTCTGCCATGGAACAAGAAAAACTGTTGCAGCAGCCAGCAGAGTTACAGGTTTGCAATTAAGATTGTTTCAAGATCGGTTAGAAAGATGCAATGGTATTTAAGTGGCTTTTATGGTTAAAACCCTTTTTAGTTTGAAGCCTTTAAAGTGTTTTAAATTGGCAGTTTGGAGAGAACTCTGATATTATATATGATGCTGTGTGTTCTTTGATATTATATTTCTAATCGGTGAAGTGGAAAATTGAGAAAGTCTCTCAAGGTGCTGTTTACTTGAAAAATAGAAAGCACAAATTATAATCACTTCACTTGCCTCCCCTTATTGGCATCCTCGGTTCTTGACTTTTCTATCTTAATAAAGACTTTGGGGGAAACTAGAACACATCAACTTCAATTCAAATCTCACCTTAATTCTTTTGTTGACATTAGGTTGACCAAGTGTTCCACCGGACCAAAGCTGGCACTATCGTAGGTGGTACGCTATCGCAAGGTGTGATGCGTGAAGGTGACAAACTATGTGTTGGTCCATCAGAACTTGGGGAGTTTTATCCTGTCACCGTCACTTCAATATATCGGAACAGGGCACCAACACGTGTGATACGGGCTGGTCAGGCTGCATCTATAGCGCTGTCAGATGTGGAAAGACATCAGCTGAGAAGAGTAAGTAGCCGATGTTTTACAATCACAGATGCCATTTGTACTGGGTACGATCTTCAGGTCGCTTTTAGCATACAGCTATTATCTTCTTTATATTGATGATCTAGTGATAAATATCTCTGGCATAACCTGTTTTGTAATTTATTATTTGGCACACTCGCGACACCATCCATTGAGCTCTGCTGCTTCCGCTTCATAAAACTACCTTTTATAAGTTTTTTGGTGACCGATGGGAAATACCTGGTCAAATGCTCTAGCTGGTTCTTCTGTATGATGGTGTGTCTCTCATTGGCTCAGTTGATGTCCATAAACTTTGAAGCATTCCTCCATGGAAAAGTATCATATAATGGAAAAGTCCGGCACTTCTTTTAAGCTAAATGCTACTTTTCGCAGCGCATTTCCAACCCACTTTTATTTGGCATTCTTGGATAACTACAGGCACCTAAAAATCTGCAGTTACCTTTCATTTTCTTGATATTTGTATGCAATCATTTGCCGCTCTTCGTATATCGATCACTCTCTTATTCTTGTTAAAATTTTGCAAATTCATGTTTTAGCCCTTTTTTCCTGGCTACAATTCCACTTTTTTCTGCGCTCGTTCTTGTATACAAAATAATTGTATTTCTTATGAGTTACATGACATCAACAGAAACTTTTGCAATTGATCAAAAATCAACAAGAATGACAAGAATCAAGGGGATTGGTTTCGTGTTGTCTCAATAGCTAGAAAGTCGCAGTTTTTCATTAAGATATGCCTAGGCTGAGATTGCCCTTACCTAATTTTACAATTCTAGTATTATGACGCAGCTACAATTCAGAAAATTATAAATGTGCAATATAACAATACAAATACAGAGAAACACGATAATACTCTCGTGTATGCTTACTATCAGGTATTTATTCTACAGTGTCGGATGAAAATTACTTAAATATCCTATTTTCCGCTTTTCGTCATATTTCAAAATGTCTTTTACTTATTAGATTTATTATTTTCTCTTCAATGTGGAATTTTCCATTTATTTGCTATTTCCTGCTCGTAGAATTTCATTCGAGCGGGTATGGCCGTAAGCTTCGTCCCGATCGAATGGATGTTGATTTCTTGTAGGTTTCAAGGCGCCTTTTAGTCAAAACGAACCATATCCTTTAATTTCAAGTAACAAGAATGGGCTATCGCCTGTGTATGGTTACGTAAGGTTCTCGAAGGGGTCACCCCTACTCAAGCAGTGTACCTCGTTTATTCCTAAACTCTAGAGCATCATTTTTAGAGTAACAACATCCTGCAGTAATAAGACGTTGAATTCACAACGTTGAGGTGTTTGCAGAGCTAAATTTCTTGCCACCTTATTTTATGTTATTCAGTTTCAATATTTTATTGGCGTATGTTTTTTTCTGATTATTTATTTCAGTATTTTATCATTCTTGAACTTTGGAAAAATTATGCTTTAAGCATGCTTTGACTAGAAGATATAAGTTTAAAAGCTTAGTTGAAGCCACAAACCATTTACTTGAGATGTTAGAAATTCAATCTTCTTTAACAATTTCAAAACAGGTACTTTTCAAAGTCAAGTCGACGGCTGCCTACTCAGTTTTTGACTAAAGACGAAGCTCGTGTTGTGCTTCTCCGTGGGAATGCTTTTGTCAATTTCTTATATTGCACAATGATCAACGTCAAACCGTCAATTCTCTGTCGCTTTTAAAGTTATCAGCCGTATTCAATCAGTTTTCTGCGCACTTCCCTGCTGTATGTCCAATGAGTGGGCGTGTTTCTCCTTCTTTTTGCGACGTTTCTTTGCCGCAAACTCGACATGGATCAACTATTTCTTTGCTCATCTTTGCTTTTTGATGTAAATGTTTCCAAAATTTGCCGTTTTGAAACCACGCCTAAAAAACGAATTCGACCACGCTGGAAAAGCCTGTCTATCCATTTATCTTCCATGCTCTCATCCTACGCTTTGCAACGTGCACTTTGAATTTCAAACTTCTTTTAAACGTATATTCTTGTGACCTGTTTTGTCAAGAGTGATTCTTTTGAGTAGAGAACCAACCTCTTACAGCCTTGTTTCACTCCATACTTTTATTTTCTTGTGAACTTTGTTAAATTCTGTTGTTAGTTGTTTTTCATGACGTTTTACTTAGGCAGTGACGTACCAAATTCTAGCTAGTAAGCAGAGGAAGCAAGGATTTGGTTGCAAATATATACTTCCACGAGAACCAAACAGAAAGTTCACCAGAATAAAACCAACAACATGGTAGCTGTTAAATTCGCATTGCCCAATAGACCAAGTTTCAGAATATGATAACATTTTGCTCGACTCAACACGTCTCCAATACATCGAACTATGTCAATTTCAAGAATATTGGGCATTGTCTTGAAACTCTTTCAAACAAATTCAATTACAATACAAACATTTTACATAACTATGATTCAGTAAAAAAACAAACTACTTTACAGTCAGTGTACGATTTACAACTGCACTCAAGATAAAGCAAGTGAAATAATAATGAAATTTGAGGCCACCAGCACAGCACAGTTTAGAGTAAAATTTAAGTGAACTTTTCTCCGTTTATCTCCGATGCAGAAGAAAATATTTACAACATAATTAAAGGTTTTGGCACACTGGGTGTCGTCGATCTGTCCATATCAAAACTAAAAAAAAATATTTTAAAACAAGGAGCTAATCAAACGCGCCATTTCTTCTTTATTGTTATTTTTGACCTACTCTTTGATATTGCAGTTTTCAAATCATGCCCAAATCCGATAGGATCTCTGTGGTTGGAACGAGCGTCCCTTAATTCTTCTTGTCGATTCGCTATGTTTAAAACAATGTCCATCTATTATAGCCAACCCGTTCGCTGTTTTCTTACAGCATAATTTAGCCTTTTTAAAATAAGTTTAAATAATGATTTCTTAAGTAAGAACTTTATACAACGAACAACAGCTGCAGATTAGAAATTTCTAACCAGCCTCTTTTTACGCAGGGACTGGTGGTACTCGAGGCCGTAACAACACCATACTGCTGTCTTGAGTTCGAAGCAGACGTCTTTCTTCTATTTCACACAACCTCGATTTCGAAACGTTTCCAAGCAACCGTACATATAGGAAACGTCATACAAACAGCGATCGTTGTCGATCTTAGCAGGGTGAGTTTTAATCTTTTTATTTTTTGCACCTCATCTTGCTTCCAAACTGCACAGGACGAATCAATGTCTAGTTGCTAGATACAAAGCTCCTTTAAACCTTTCTCGTTTTACTAGTGCAAACATGCATTCTGTAGGCAAAGCAACGAGCATCTAAAGACATCGCGCATCAATTTGTGCTGTCTTTCTTTCTGTTATTTAGAGATTTAAGAATTGGTCTTGAGAATTAAGAGTCCTGCTTACTTAAACCATAATAGTTGGCGTTGCCAGGTAAAATGAAGTTGGAAATCGATGTTTCATTCGAATAAGGCATTGAAATAGGTTTACAAACAGGGGTCTTGCCAGAGGTAGCTATCAAAATACAAAACTGAATTTTAAAATATTTCAGAAAAAAGGCGTCCTATTTTGAGGGAAATGATGAAGCTGTATACTCGGCTAAACTCTAATGAGTGGCCCGTCCTCGTTCCCAAAGCCCACAGATTTCCCCATATTCAGTTGCTATGTACGCATGTCCGACCCGAGTCATTCATGAGACTTATACTATTGCGAAGCATGTTTCCACTCCTTTAAACGGAATATTGTCAGATTAGCCAGAGTGTTTAGGGCATGACAAATTTTAAATTTAGAATCGCCTTGACTGGAAGTTAAGTAAACATTGCATGTTAGCAGTTCCGACTTTGGCTCAAACATTTAACATTGTCATTTAACAATCGTCTGTCTCCTGTCCTTTTATGATTTCCAGTAGGTGAATTTCGCACCGATTTCGCTACGAGTTTGTTTCAAAAGTTCCTTTTGATTTTTCGCAGCTGTGAAATTAGAACTCCTTTCGAAGTCAAAAATCAAAACTGCGCCCCCCCCCCCCTCGATATCTTCACCTGCGATTTGGCTGCGAAATTTTCCTCGTGGCCAGTGTGTGCTGCTGTATGGGCGGGGAAGTTAAAGAAATGCGGAACTTCGGGGAACTTTTTAATGGAAGACTTTTGATTTGGGGTTGTGTAAACGCCTTTTAATATTTTGACTACTTTTTTGCCACGAATTCTAGTGCTCTGCAGCTGCACCCTGCTCTGCCCACTTTGTCCATTTGTTTCATTCTCCCTTTCCTCTTAAGGCCCCCTAAACCCTGTTCTGACAAACTCCGTTATCTCATGCACAGTACTTTTTTGAAGGCTAGATGAAATGTTTTTGCTTCATTTGTCTGGTCAGTTACTTGAAGTGATTTTCGATGCTTGCGTCGATGGTGTTTTTTGTCATTAGTCCGTTAGGATTGGTGCGTGCGTCATGAGTTAAAAAGCATGGCTCTGGGGGAGCCGCAAATATGTATTAGTTAAGGGTCCTTTTTGGTTCTTCGTAGTTAATGGTCCTAGGGGTCATAGATCGGGTCATACTGGTTTTTCCAGTATGCCCCTGAACTTAAGTGAAGAAATCAGGTTGCTGTTAGAAGTCATGTTTAAATTTAGATCACGAAAGAGCAAACAAACGACAAATGTGCCAACAGTCGCTCAGCAGCTCAAGTCAAACTATACGGAGAATAGCCATACATTCACTGCTAAAAGAGGAATTTAATCGGACACATTCACGTCACATAGTCAATATGTTGCTTGATGTTAGAGAACTATGTTAAAGAAAATTAAAATTTGTCTTACATTCATGTCATTGTTTCAAAGTGAGACAGACAATTTACAAAGATTTGTAGCATTGATTGTTCCTTTTTCATTTCTGTTTTTCTTAGGTTTATTTCTTTAGTTTTTTTTAAGAATTAATACATTTTATCATATGGTACTGTACGATATGTTAATTTGAATAAATTAGTTTAAACATGTTCACAAGGTTCTTTGTTAAGCAGATATTAGTTCTGATTTTGTAACCTGCTTAAAATAAGTTAAGAATTAAAATGAATAACATGGAGATGATGAGACCTAAAAGCTATAGCTGCCTGTCCAAGCAGGGACCGCTGGTTCTGGAGAAAACATGTTTATTTGATAGGTATGCATTTCATGATCATATAAGATAAATATAAGGTCTTGATAAATCAAAAACATAAGCTATAAAAGGTCATTGCGACCATATTTTGACGATTTTCTTGATTAAATCATTAAAGAGGAGACCAAGAGATAGATAAATCATGTGTATACAGGAATCCCACAACCTTCTAATTTACCGTGCCAATTTGCCAGCTGAATGCAGAACCAAACCTAACGATCTTTACGATTTGGGAATTTCCAAACAACAAAAGAAGTCAATAAGCAGCTTGAAAACCAGGTTACCATCAATTAATTTTTCCATCAACTGAAGGACTATTTACTAAAATGTCAGCCCCCGCTTCCGTCCATTTCTTTAAAGCTCGACGGTGATCCTTTTTTAAGTCCTTGCTCATTCTAAAGATTGACGTAAATCTGAATTGAATTCAAATCAATATTTCATGCTGTCCTCTACCCACGTGCTCTTTAATCATGGTTTTAAAATTCTGCGCTGAAATTTCGATTTCCGACAGCAGGTTTTTACAACGTCTGGCAAAGTCACATCGAGCATCACTCCGAATTACTTGGAAATTTTTGTTTCTTTTTTATATTTTTCGTTGCTTTTCCCACTTCTGCTACCTTCCCCTAGAGTTTTAATATTTTAGGCAAATATCTTATAAGTTGTACGAAATAAGGTTTTTCCTAATCAATCTTTTGGTAGATTCCAAAACTGTTAAATGGAACGACGATCAGGCTTTACTAATTATCCGAAACATGTCGCCATTATAGTTTTTTGCACAATCTGGGTTTTCCAGTAAATGCTGCCCGATAGCAGAATCGCAGATTTTAGTTGTAATTTTAGATATGCAAGACCGAGGTGGCTGTTCTCTTTGGGGGAGAGTTTTGTTCTGAATGCTAGTAGGGACATGCTGTTTTATTCTATCCTTCAATCTTTGGGTTGTGAGTCCTACGTAGCCAGAATCACACTGGCATGATTTCATGTAACTTAGCTATGCGCACTCTCTTGTTTTAAGTTTTATCCTCTGCCAGGAGTAAAATGCTTTGAAGAGAATTTATCAACTTTTATTAAGTGAGATGGCATTGGAGAATCACAAGCATTTAATCTGTCATAACAAGCCTTTGCGTTCGGTTGGCATTTAAAGTTATTTGTCCATTGACCATGGTTTGCTTCCTTTCCCAGGATCCTTTGCGGACAGGCCAAAGAGCCAAAATTCGATTCAGATTCATAAAGCAACCAGAGTACATCAAGACTGGTGCGCGCATTCTGTTCAGAGAAAGAAGGACAAAGGGAATCGGAGAGGTCACCCAAGTTTTCTATTTCCAGAAGGGCTCCTCAATTGTGAGCGATTACAATCAGGTTTTTTAGAATTAGCTCTTAGCTTTTAGTGTAATGTAAGATTCCATACATAATGCAGTCCAGTGTGCATCCAGGATCTTCGATGCGAGCATGCCCGCTTGGCTACCAAACCACCGTTACCAAATACCATATCCAAGAAATCTATTTTTGTAGTTTTCTGTCAAAATGATTGATTTAATTTAGCTTACTGCCCCTATTTTTTTCGAAGAAATCACCAATCAGCAACCAGCAATTGGAGCTCGCATCTAGCGCAGTATTGTTACCAATCACATTGTAGCCGCTGTTTTGTTATTTCCTAGATAGCTTGTAATTCTACTGGCAAGAAGCACGTTTTAGACTTAGAACATACCATGAATTGTGTAACTATCTATAGATTATTCCATTGCCGCTTTAAAAGGATGTTTGATAAACCTACTTTTTGGCTATTTTATATCAAGCTTTTTTCATCTAATGAACTATTTAAGTAATGAATATCGCCTCAGCTAGTTAGCTTAGAAATGTCTGCTTTCCATTAGCATAAGTTTTACGATTTAGATGTAATAACATGTTTTAAAATTTTTCCCTGTGTGTAAGAAACCAAGGGGAACCAGGCCATCATCGTTGACCGTTCAAATGCTTGCTAAAATCACACCCAAAGCTAAGCAAAATGCCCTGTTCATCAGTTCATCCCCAAGGATATGCTAGTGCTTTACTTGAATCACTTTCTGTTTCAATTCCGGGCTTCAGAAAACTTTTCACCCTCTTGCCTTGAGCTGGCCTCTAAATACTTCATGGATAGATAAGTATTTTTCCCCGCCCGCTCCTATCCTGTTCTCTCAAAGGAGAGCGCTTTTACAATGACCTCTTATTCAGTAGAATTTTCCTTTATCGAGTATAATTTAGGTTATGTAGATGATTTTGTGTATACTGTATATTATGTGCCTAGCTGTCTATATGTAGCTTAAAGAAGTCCAGATCGTTAATAATTTATTGTTTAATCAAATTGAGTGTTGCTTCCTCTTCGCCCTGTGCCCTTATAACGAGAATTGTAGAACTTGATTCGCTTTGTAATGTTTTTACCCACGCTCCACCTGTGATTCGCCATGGACAACAATTCCCAATACGAATTAGTCGATCTACACGTAGCCCCCATCGCTACTTATCTTCGATTTGAACTCCCGTTTGACGCCATTATCGTAAGAAGTACTTCATGTAAAATTGTGTTTATATTCAACTCTCTGCGTTTTGCACAGTTCGTTTATTTCTCAATTTTTAATTGCTACACGTTCTTGATCAGCAATTTTTTAATTCTGTGTTGACATGATGATCCCTAGCTTTAACGTGTTTGTTGATTGCTATTTCATTGACAGGATTACAACGGTGTAACAGAAACTTCAGCTTACGTTTTCTTATCATAGAGATGTGCTATTTATTCATACATTGCCAGTAGATCATTTAAAGTGATTCATACTTGGCGAACCAGCGAGGCAAGCCGTCATGTTGGAGCAGCGACGAGCTTGAAGTTTCGGAGCTGATTTGATTTGAAACACCACAATACATTAGTTAACTACAATTATACAATTTCAAATAAATATGATCTACAACTCAAATATGTTCTAACAACTTTTCTCGTCGCGCGTTGCAGGCGAGTCCCGCCCTGTATAGAATCCGTACGTAGGATAAATGCGCCTAAGAAGAGCTACCTTTCCTGGGCTGGCAACATGATGTAATGGGATGACCAGTTCTTTTCCTCGCTACCTTTAGTAACCCCTTTTTGCCACCGCCTACTTATCTGTTGGTATTTGAACAGAACGGGAGCGTCCGATCGAACCAGGTTTCGAACCAGGAACCTCCAACTCTGCAGTCAAGCGCTCCAGTTACTTAGTAGCGCGCCACTTTGCTTCTAAGTAATGTAGTAAGAAATCAATAAGGTAACTAACTATACGTGGATGATGAAACCATAAGCGTATGGCGCGACGGCTGCAGCTTCCTAGAGTCAAAATGACCATGATGTAACAGTCAATGGGGCAAACAGTAGCCAATAGTCAGGCAAAAGCCAAGAGACAAAAGCAAAGTGCTAGTTCAAGCGCTCGCTTTCATTTTAACTTGAAAATATTCGAATATTTAATTTTGCATCTTGCTCCTGCAATTCACCTATGATGTTTATTGGTGAAACAGAGTAGGAAGGTTTAGGGAACTACAAGGTATTCGAGGCTGTCTCTTTAGGGGCTGTCTCTTTAGGGGCTGTCTCTCTAGTGGCTGTCTCTCTAGGGGCTGTCTCTATAGGGGCTGTCTCTCTAGAGGCTGTCTCTCTAGGGGCTGTCTCTATAGGGGCTGTCTCTCTAGGGGCTGTCTCTCTAGGGGCTGTCTCTATAGGGGCCGTCTCTCTAGAGGCTGTCTCTCTAGGGGTTGTCTCTCTAGGGGCTGTCTCTATAGGGGCCGTCTCTCTAGGGGCTGTCTCTATAGGGGCTGTCTCTATAGGGGCTGTCTTCATGAAAATTTGGGGGCTTGACTTGAGCACCCGTTCGGAATTCAACTCAACCCCCAGGCAGCTTTTTCACACAGAACACCATGTCAGGAAAACCAAATTAAAGCGGTATCTTTTCTCAGTTTATGCGAAGGTGGCTCAAAAGAGATGCCATTAGAATTCAAAGAGTCTCTACTCTATATATATATGGCATGAAAGTTTATAAACAGAGTATAATTAAAAGTGTGAATGTAAGTATAAGATTCGGAAAGCATACGACCATCTCCAACAATGGCAAAGCCATGTGCTCATTTTTGATACAAGATTGTCATTTTCTCTTTGTAGGAAATTCCCTTGTCAAAGAAAAGCAGAAGAAAACAGCACCTGAATCTCTAGAAGACTTTTAAGAAGCATCGTGTAGACTGAGCATTTCAAGCTGAATTAAAAAATGAGATATGCAAGGCTCACGAACAACCTTGAATTTGGTAAGCAAAATTCAATCAATTTGATTGTATTTTCGTACGTAAAAGAATACAGTAGCGAAAGTCTTTAGAACAAATCAATGGCTAAATTTTTTAAAGATGGTTTGCAACTTCTGTCCACAGTCTAATTAGTGACCCGATTCAGCATTTCTGCAAACCAATAGATGTTTAGACATTCAATCAAACGTTTCTTAGTTAAATTTTGTACTATTCTCTACTGATCAAGCATTACTATATTCACGTGTTTCCCAAACAGTTCTTTTTTTATTTTTTACCATCGTTTTACTTATCGTTGCATTAACAAAATGTAACACACGACTTCATATGAGTTGTAGCTAATTAATTCATTTCCAGGTTTTTTGCTTCAAAAGGCATCTTCAGATTCTCAGTATCTCTTCTTCTCGGAGAATTTTTGTTGAGCATTTCCCGTGAAGGCTGAACCTTGTTTTGCGATTTTCTTTCCTAAAGTCTAATAGTGTCGAGAGTTGTCATCGTGGTGTAGAATTATATTAGTTGAAAGGGAAACAAAAGCAGCAAATTGACGAAAAGGCTCCATACATATGATCATACAAATTCATACATACAACAGTTCCTGTTACGAGCAATACATGATATTACCAACAGAAGTCGTGTTTTTGAATAATAGCTGATATTACATAAAACAATTGAAGTTGCTAATGATTGTTGATATTACAAATATATGTTGATATTATGCTTAATTAATGATAATACAAGCAATATTTGATATTACAAACAATAGCTGATATCATGAACAATGACTGACAGTATAAATGATAGTTGATATTCCAAATATAAAAAATGGATATTACGATATCAAGTTTTATTGTTGATATTACAAACAAAACGGTAGCTGATATAATAAGCAATTATTGACATAACTAACGAGAGTTGGTAAGGCAAATTAAAGTTGATATTGCGTTTAATAGTTGATGTAAAATGCAAAAAATGATGAGCAATAGTTGACATTACAAACGATAGATGTTTTCCAAATTAAAGTTGATATTAGAAACAGTAGCTAGCATGGCCAATATTAGCTAAAATTGTGAAAAATTGTAAATATTGAGAACAGCTAAATTAAGAACAATTATTTTTCAATGAAAACAAAAGTTGATATTATGAGCAAAATATTGGGGAAGTGGTGAAAATTGCCAACAATAGTCGATATTGTTGATCGAGGCTCAACAAAATTAAACTTTTAGATAATGAATATCATAAACAATTTTTGTCAATCATTTTGAATTCAGCTGAACCATTACGGTAAAAACAATAATCCCAGTGACAATCATCATCATCATCGGATATGAATGATATCAAAGAGCGAAAACTGTTGACTTTAAGCCGCCGCTCTTTCTATTTTCTGGGGAAGCTTGAGCAGCTTTACACCAGGAAAAACAATGTTGTTTTTGGATGATCTTCAATTACCTGAAAATCTTTTGCTTCTATCCAAGGTGTCCTTGAATTTTGAATGAGGGGTGGGAAAATAGCTTGTTTTGGATTTACCATGGTGCTTAAGCACAAAGCCCCATCGGTCTAGGGGCTCAATCTTCCTTTAAATAGAGATTCCAAAATCCGCTAATTTGCCTCAAATTATATTTTTTTAGTTAAATAAGCTTTTGCACATAATTGTGACTTGAAATCAAATTGATATATTTAAACTTAAAGAATATAGCGAATACAACGAATTTTTGGTAAGTTTTTGAGTAACAGTTTTCTGGCTTGTTTTCGTACACATGTTCAACCTATAGCCTATACAATATTCCTAAAAATTCAAAAAAATTATTCTCCATATCTGAGCCCTGATCTTTTACTTATATCTTTTACCTGATCTTACTGAATTTTGCTTATATTGACGATAATGGTTTATCAGGAAATATGTAATCTTTTAATTAACTACTTTCAACTTTCTACGTATATATGGTGAAATGACTGTGTATGCATGCTGGACCTATTCAGGGGAGAAATTAGGGACCTTAACCAGCACAGGGCCTCATTTGTCCTTAATCCGGCCCTAAGAACCAAGCTATTTGCCCTTCTCTTCTTGATAAGATATATTCTGTATTTTTTAAAGGAGTCAGCTCGCTGGTTTGAAGAACTGGATAAGCTTAGTGGTGAGTTTTAAGTAAGATTTGATTGCAAACTTCCTCCCAAACAACAAATAATGTTGGATTAAGGTGAACCACAACCACTAGTTTAAAAAAAACTATTGCTGTCTTCAGAGGAATGACACAAGCTTTTGCCAGCAATCAAGAGTTTTCTTTGGCTTTTGCCTTCTTTGATAGTGGGATATGTCGTGTTTTTTTCTGGATTTCAATTCATCATTGCTGGAATTTTGAACGGATTTCAAACAGAACAGAAAAGTGACTGATTGCTGAAATTAGCCGCTGTTCTAGTGGCCTAGAAGTTTCATATATTCATCTTTCCAGTTTTTTATTGCAATGTTTTAAAACGTCAGGTTAAAATGGCAAATATCTATCAAGGTCATGGCGTAACATTTGAGCAGATCATATTTTGTAACATCTAGAGCCAACAATGCGTGTCAAGGTTCTTGTCATTAGTTATTGATGAGCAGGAGTGAAAAAGACCTACAAATGCAAGCCTCGATTTTTATTACAAAATTTGCTTATTGCAGAATGCTGCAAGTCTGAAAATCACCTGATGCGAGAACTCTTTTTATACACAGAGCCTTGAGCATACGGTGATAACTCTATACCATCTGTTCATGCTTTCACGGGGGTTATACATTTAAACGTTCTAGAGTCTAGGCCAATTAGCGGGTTGGTTTTCGAGAAATCATTGACCACCTGTCCCTATTTAGGGCGTGACTTTTCAAAGTCTACCAGTACAAAGTTGAGGTGGAGAAACAGATACCCACAAGTTTTGTCACCTCCCCCCCTCCCCCTCCCCCCTAAAAAACAAATTCGTTTTCTTACAAACAAGTTTTGATCAACAAGGTCTTTTTAGTAGCCTATTCCTCCACAAACAAGCCCGCACTTGTCATTAGCCAATCGTCAGCAGTTGGCAAGAAAGGAAACTCTCTAAGCTGCAAAGGGGGACTTTAGGTGGGCCCCCTGTGCCATCCCGATTTCTACGTCTTTGCGCATAACTACCCCTACCTAAAACGCAAACCTCTTTCGAAATCTGATCTAGCCCCCTGGCATTGTTCATAATAATCTGTCTGTTCAACGTTGAAAGGTCAAGTTTAACCATTTTGATTAACTAGCAATGTATACCAATGTGAATACATTTTGATACAATATAACGAAGCCCTTGCCGCCCATTGAGAAAAACTTTCAGCTAACTGGACGGCAAAATTGTTCCACTGAGCGGCAAAAATGCTGTCTAGTTTATACGCTAATGTGACTATGCTTAT